CAGTTATAAATACAACCTGTGATAGCAGCACACAGTTATAAATACAACCTGTGATAGCAGCACACAGTTATAAATACAACCTGTGATAGCAGCACACAGTTATAAATACAACCTGTGATAGCAGCTCTAAGTAATAAATTCAACCTGTGTAATGGTAGCACTAAGTAATAAACATAATCTGTGTAGCAGCAGCACATAGTAATAAATAGAACATGTGTAATAGCAGCATGCCTGCAATATATGGCACACAGTAAGCACACGTCTCTGGTTATGGGATCTTCGCTCTAAATCGGATTTGTTAACTTCGGAGGCATCAAAGGATATTCGATCCTGATTTCCTCAGGTCACAAAAACATTCACATTATTTAACAATATTAAAAACATTTTTAACATTATTTAACTACATGGACTAAACTCCCCCCCAACTTTCACCCTTCCCCCTTCACTTTTTCCAATTACTCTATATAGACCAACAGATATATATGTTCAGATTTTTTGGCAGAATTACATTAATAATAATAATGGGATCAAAGTTAGTGAGTATCAGTGCGGCCATAATTACCGGACTTCCGCAGAGGAGACGTCGGCATGTGATGTCCGGCGGGAGTGGAGTACTGACCGGTCCGTCGACTGACCACTTGACCTCCAGACCCATGCCGCTGTCTGTCGTGGATTTCGGCTGGGGCGTGGTGCGCGCCCACTCTCTCACCGGAGCTGCGTCTCTGCCTCTCCTGCACGTCCATCGGTTCCTTGCTGCTTGCTCCCGACTCCTCGACGCTCACAGTTCTCAGCGGGGGCTTCGGCGCTATCTTCGTCGGACTTTTCTTCGTCGGCAGGCCCGTCCGGCTCCCGCTCTTCATGAAGGACTGACCAGTCGGCTGCGCGTCCGACCGCGGCGGTTGAGAGGATGCTAGCGATGGTCGGAGTGCGGACGGCGAAGCAGACCTGTCCTCGCTCGTCGATTCGGCGGCAGTCGCTTCCACGACGGCAGGCGGCGGCTTAATCGGCGTGGAACACGTCGTCGTCGTCGCCGCTGCTGAGGTGGACTGCGAGTGAGATGCCGCGGTGTGCGGCGCGGCGTCCAGCGCGGCGGCAGCGGGGCCCACCTCGGACATGTGGTGCTGCAGCAGCAGCAACTCCGGCAGGCTGTGCTTGCGGCTCGACGGCTGGCCGGCCTGCTGCTGCGCGTACTTCCAGTTCGTCGGCACGCTGTTCGCCATGTCGTTGCTGCCGCCGTTGTCGCCGCGGTCGGCGCCCGCCGCTTCCGCGTCCGCCGCGATCGCCATCTCGTCCTCCTCCCACGCCGTCGGCAGGCTGTTCTTCTTGACGAGGCAGCGCGCGACTCGGTCCGCACGCTCCTCGCTGCTGCTGCTGCCCGCGGGCACGTACGGCGGGATGACGGACGACGTCCGCTCGGCGTCCCCACCGTCCGCCGCGCACAGCCGCTCGTGCTTCCACTTGGTGCGCAGGCCGTTGACGCCCATCGCCATCTTCGCGCCCTTGTACTTGCTAATGGCGACCATCGTGTCGTCGTCGTCGTCGTCGCCCGCGAGCGCGATCACCTGCGTGCAGGTGCGCGTGCGTCGCTTCACCGACCGCGAGTACGGCGGGTACGAGTTGTGCTGGTACTGCTCGCCGTCGCTGTCCGACGGTGGCGCCATCGCCTGCAGCGACTCGGCGCGCCGCGATGGGTCGAGTGACGCGTCTCGCTCTGCCGCCGCCGCCGTCTCGAACACGCCGCGCAGGCGGTGCACGCGCTCCGCGCTC